TGGGGAAGGGAAGTAGATTATTAGCCAATGGAAGCTCATGACAGTCTATCTACTGTAGCGTATTCACTAGAATTTAATATTCGGTAAGAGATAAATACAGAAATAACAATGCAAAAATTGCGATTAAGAAAAGACTCGGTAAAGGATTTTGAGAGAAATTTCGATAGCCATGTTTTAGCAAATCCAGTGGGTTAATTCATGTGTAATCAGAAATAACAATTACTACCTTTGTCATAGATCGCTTAAGTGTCTTCCACTGAGGCTATATATATGCTGTTTAAAAAAGTTATTTTTGGATAGCCTAGTAAAGAAAAACTTGTTCTGAAGTAAACCAGTTGAAGTTACCATGACAAAAATTGAAAAAAATGTGACCTAAATTGGGTAGAAAATGAAGACCGCCCTCAAAATCACTTATAAATAGCTAGAAACGGATATCTCGACCTTAGATGTGTAAGAAACAACAAGATCTTCAGTTATCAATGAAATTGACCAAGGTCTTTGTTTTCTACATAATTCCCCCAAATGAAGAAAAGGAAAACCCCCCTCAAAATAACTTGGAAACGGCTCAAAATTGCTTATAATGACTTCTCGACACTAGAGAAGTGTGTAAGAAACAACGCGATATGTAATTTTGGCCGGGCTAAAGAAAATCGTTCGTTATATAAAGGTTTGTTAAATTGAGGTTCCACTGTAGATAAATGAATTTGTGATTGTTGCTGCCGCAGTGAGTGAGCCTGAAGCGAACGAACGAGGCAGCTCTCTAATCGGCAAAAAATCACATTATATGGGCATTGAATCACTTTTTCTTACCAGACGCAAGGAATCGTGGTTATGCGTGAATAAAAGATTTAGGGCGCGCAATAAACTCGCAAGGAGTTGTGGTTATGTGCGAATGGGAACATTAAGGATGCGCAGTAGACTCGCAAGGAGTTGTGGTTATGCTGGAATGGGCGATTTAGAATGCGCAGTGGATTACCACCTGCTTTTTTCTTACCCTGATTTTCAACTGCAATTTGCCGTTAAAGTATGCAAACAAAAGGACTAATTAGCAAACAAACAACTTTGCACTTGCTGAATACTTTTGAAGTTGGCTGACACTTGTCGACCGAGACCCGAAGGTTTTCATAATGAATGCATTCTAGTTGATGCCTAGGCAGAATGTAGCAAAGTTCGAAACCGTTGGATATTTGGGTTGGTTTTCGGAAAACAGGACACGCTCAAGACGAGTAAAATAGCGTAGCGTATGGAAAAAGAAATAGCCTCACTCGAGCAAGCAGCCGTTTTATATCTTTCTAGCATATTTTCACAAAATGCAGTATTTTATAAATAAATCAGTTTTATTGTTCGCTGTGGCTATATGGCCGGTAACCGGTCAAGATTTACAAAACACTAAATGACCGGCAGTTCAATATTTTGACTATAGTGATTAGGGTTAAGCACTGAAAGTGCTAATTAGGGTTAAGCACTAACCATACGTATATTCCAGAAATGGTGGTGGAGTTGGCATTATCTGAAGAAACGACCGGAAAATATAGAAGCTTGTCTTTCCTCACAATGCTTTTGAGTGCTTTTCGGTTGAAATTTTACCGGTGAAAGATCAACATTTTTATGCAGCAGCAGTTTATCATCCATCCAACCCTACCTATTGCCCTGACAACCTCATCGAGTTTTTGGAGAATGCTTGTAAGTCGAATTTATGTATGGGCCCTAATACAAGATTGATGATTAAGTTAGAACTATTTTTCCAGGCTTTCACTCTATCCTTACAGGTTAAATCTCCAACCAGGGGTTCAAGAGTACTAGATATATTTGCTACTAATGTCCCGTTTGACTTTTGCAAGATTCAGTTTGTGAGGGGCCTAATCAACTCAGACCACAAAAGGGTGATTCTAAGCCTTAAACAAAGAACTCCACCAGAAAGAAAATGGGTTGAATTCAGAGACACACGTGAACATTGCAAGTTAGCGATGTCATCTTATCTCAAGGAAATTGATTGGCCTTCACTTTTACACAGTGCTGATATAAAATCTGCAGTTAAATGCTTTTGCAATCTGATCAGCCTTGCTGTGGATCAATTCCTTCCTAAGGTAGAGGTCAAGTTGTCAAGAAATGACCCCGCCTTCATCTCTCTCGAGTGAAATTACTGCTAAAGCGGTATGGTGTTAGAGGCTGATTCTCTAGAAGAGAGAATTGATAAGCTTATTCAACAGAATCAGATGAATGAAGTGAGGAGCAGAAACAACAAACATTGTAAATCTACCAGACAGTGGCAGAGAATCGAAAACTGTTTCCCTCAGTTCTTGTTCTTGCTCTTGAGGAAGTGAATAAATACTCTTAGGAGATAAATTCAGATGCTAACTACAAGGCTCCATTTTTACGTCAATACCCCTCGAGGTACCAGGCTCCCAGTTATCGATGAGTTCACTACCTTTAAATTCCTTTTACAACAAAAAAGAACTGCCGCTGGACCTGATGATCTGTCAATTTGGTTCTGGGGAGAATTGGCAGAGGAACTTGCTCCCATGATTACTGCAATCTTCAACTTATCAATTAAGTCTCAAATGTTGCCTTGTTCTTGGAAATTTGCCAACATTTCCCCCGTTCCTAAGGAAACCCCCTGTCATCCTTGAACCAACTCCGCCCTATTTTTACTGATATTATTGTTAGGCTGTTAGAGAAAATTATTTATGTCGCAGAAGTTAAGCCTGTCATTAGATCCTACCTATCGCTAGATCAATTTGAATGCAGGGAAGGTACCAATACTTCCCAAGCTCTCATTAAAAGCTAACAAATGTGGCTTACATGGCTTGACACTGGAGGAGCAGATTGTGTTAGGGTTTTTGCCTTTGATTTCTTTAAGCCTTTTGACTCAGTGAACCACTTCAGAGTTCTACAAAGTTCTAAGCGCAATCTCGGGTTCGCGTCAATTAGCTCGAATTCTCCAACCACCCTCTCCTGCTTATTCCAAGCTATTCAAAAACGGAAAAAGTTCTCTATGACCTGAATATTGAAGTTTTATCTGAATTAATCAAGGAAATAGCTTTTGGTTTAAAATGAGCTTTAGAGGTTCACGAACCCAGTAATGCGAAGAAATTTTCGGCTAAATATATAATTCGCTTTGAATGTTTGAGCCACAGCTCAATGTCCCTTGTACCCTTGTTCCGTGGCAGTGTTAGCTCAGTCGGCAGAGCGTGTGACTGCAGAGCAGGAGGTCGGCGGGGCCGGACCAATACTCAGTGTCTTAAAATGACCGAGAATTGAAGGTACTACCTTTGTACTGCAAGCGGCTAGACCTTCGTGTGGCTCGGATGACCACTTAAAATGGCGGTCCCGTCTCCAGCTGGAGACGTAAAAAAAATAGTGTTCCCAAATAGTACCTTCGTGCTAAATACATTGACACTCAAATAAAGTGCATTTTTTTTTGTACTTCATCAATCTGTTTGGTCTGGAGAAATTTGATCAACGCGCATTAATTGCTCTTATTTCTTAAGAGCAATTAAAGAGCAATTTGGTCATTGTTGACGTTAATATCCTGAAACTTCTTTGCGTTAACAGTTTTTCGCTGCCCAACAAGAGATTTCTCTGAGACAATTGTGGACATTGTTTCCTGCGACGATGATATATACAGGGTGTCCCAAAAGTTCGTTCCTCTACTTTATAAGTCTGTAACGCAGTACAGTTGGACTTGATCAGCACGCAATTTAAACCAAAGTTGTGACTTTCAATCTAATTTTATATTTCATACTTTTTGTGCCATCTTTTCACTCGAAATTCGATTTGTGTAATTTCGCGCCAAAGGTGCGCTGCGCGAGTAAATTTTCCGGCCATATATTTTTTTGCATTTTGTAGCCCGAAATGCTCGAACTCCTAACTTGTTTTGTGTAAATATCTTGAGAGACAAACCCTCTCAACCAAAAAAAAAAAACACTCAGCCACGTGCGAGCAGAAGCATGTATTCCTATCTACTGGTTTTTCAGTTAAAGAAATTCCTAAAACAATGGAAAAATCCAAATGTTGGGTGGTAAGATGGTCATAGAGGAATGAAGGTTTTACAGACAAGAAACGAGGGGGAAGACCGAAAGTCGTGAATAAAACCGCTAAAATAGTTTTAAAGAAGGCCATGTACAAAGCGGGAAACCCAACGAGGTAGCTCTTACAACAGTTAGCAAGTTAAGTCTGGAGCAGGTTCATGAAAAGCAAAGTTTGGAGACCCCTGAGATGGCAAAAAAACCCCGTATTCCCGGCCAGGGCCGCCCGCCAAGCAACGTTCAGCTCGTCTCAAATTTGTAAAGAAGAACAAAAGCCTTACTGTGGAAAGGGGACGGAATGATCATATTTTCTTGGATCAATGCCCAAAATATATTGTTTTAGCTGCCTAATATAAAAATTTTATTGTTCTGGGGACGAAGTGACTCCTGCATACTAGGTGATAAAAAAACTCAAAATGAATCATCTAGGGTTCTACATGCTACATGGCTAATATCTCACTTTATACCGCGACGGCTACAGAATGTGATAAAAAGGGGGATGCCGATAACTGAACTTCTGAACACAAGTACTCGATAGAGTAAGAAACATATTTTAGAAATTTCATGTAAAAATAAGTTTTCATTAAAAGTTATAGCGCATGAAATTAGAGGAACGAACTTTTGGGACACCCTGTATATGATCATGACGATGAAAACACTGTAAACTGACTAGAACTGATGGTTCTTACCCATGAATTACGCTTAGGAAAACTGCCTGGTGTTGGTTAATTTACTACCTTTGACTGGATATAATAGCTTCAAAGGGAATTATAGATTCTGCTGCTTTTGTTTTGAGGGTCTAGAAAGACGACTTATTCTGAGGTGCTCGAAATCGGGGTCGCTTTCCTCGAGTACACCAACAAACACACTATAGTGGGAAACTAAGCATAAAATTCTCAAGCTGGAAACAGTTAGTTGATACACTATTGGTGGTACTTGGAACAATTAATGCTTTTTGTGGAAACAATCATTTTATGCAAACGAATCTATCAAAAAGGTGGCTTTCAGCTTCAAAGTCCGCTTTGTATGAAATGAAATTCGTTTACTGAAAGTAAACCACTTGATCGGGGGCTTTGCCGCATATTCTTTGTTGAATTGTACCAACACCATTTTGTAATTATATACTGTAAGCGTTTCCTGTTAATCAAATGTTAACATTTCCTTACAACTTAGTGATATGAGATATCAACTTGAAGAAATCGGCAAAATAGCGTTTGTTATAAAATGAGCATCAGAGGTTCACGAACGTCTAAGTTACGTGTACGAGAAGGTATTGTCAGTTACTTTCACTTTCGAGCAACAGTTCAGTGTCCCCTGGTTATTCAAACTCGGGACTAGAGAAATTCAACTGCCGTTGCTTTATTTCTGAAGATACCAAACTATAATTCATGGTTGAGATAAGTGCAATTTTTCCTCCTTCTGTTTTCCGCTGCTTAACACTAAAGAGCCTTCACTGAGCCAGAAATCATGGAATTCTTTTTCAGTTTTTTTTTTCTGCGAGGACCATGGAACTGGTGTTTTTAATTAACCCATTACGCCTAGGAAAACTAGTTGTTTTGTCAATGTAGTATAATCCATTGACAGACTGACATATTCGTTTTGAGGGTCTAGAAAGTTGACTTGCACCGATGTGCCCTAAAGCACAAGTCGCTTTCTTCAGCTAGCGGGAAACCGGCAACAAATTTATCATAGCGGAAACAACGGTATAACTTGTTTTGAAGTCAGTGGAAAGTACTAATTGCTATAGGTTGACAATTTTATTGCTTATAGTTTTGTCTAGTAAAAATTACTTTATTCAAGTGATTCTAAGAAACAGAGGGCTTTGTTTTTGGTTGGTTAAGTGTTGTTTTCAAGCTAGTCTAACGGAGAACAAAATCCAGAGAGATTTGTCATCTCTGGACCCTTTTTCAGGTAGAAGGGTTGACGTTGGCAATGAATATCTGTCAAAAAAACTTTCGAAAAACTTATTAATAGTATTTTTTAAAAACAATGAATGTTATTTATAAAACTTATATAGCCATTTTCCAAACTTATGGAAAACATTTTCCTGTGTTTTGAAAGCCTGACATAAAGACTCAAGGGTGTGGAAGGATTCTGGAAAGTTCTTAGTACATACCCTTGACTTCGTCTCACGTTTGTATTGATCATGAGCCTCTGTGTGTTTGGGTAACTGCGGACGTCGTTTTGGTCGCTTGTTTTCCATGAAATCGTCGGTTTTTCAAGGAAATAGTCGCTTGCGTCGTATCAAGAATTATTTTTAAGGTTAACGCTATTTGAGACTAGAACGTTGAACCCTGAACGTAGTGCAGCACACTTCTTAGCAGATTTCTTTGCACGTCTAATCTTGTCAAACTTGTAATCGGAAAGGAATGCGATAGTCGTTTTAAATTCTAGGATCGTTGTTTCATCAATAGCCATCGTCGCGACTTTGATTTCGTCGCAAACACTCATAATTAGAGTCTCAGGATCACTTACCGTTTCTGGGAAACCAGTCTAGATAGCCTCAGAAAAAATCGTCTCGATAAAATGGCTACTTGATCTGCCACGAAGACGTGACTCGTTTAAAAAACGATCCTCCTTCTTGAAACGAGGCTCGTTCAAAAAACGAGTCCTTCGGAAAACGAGACTCGTTTAGAAAGGGTCGTTCTGCATATGAGTCTCGTGGAAAAACGAGACTCCTTTGGAAAGAGTCGTTTAACGAGACTCGTTTTGAAAGACTCGTTTAACGAGAATCGTTTTGAAAGACTCGTTTAACGAGACTCGTTTGGAAAGACTCGTTTAACGAAACTCGTTTGGAAAGACTCGTTTAACGAGAATCGTCCGGATAGACTCGTTTAACGAGACTCGTCCGGAAAGAATCGTTTAACAGAAACTANGTGACTCGTTTAAAAAACGATCCTCCTTCTTGAAACGAGGCTCGTTCAAAAAACGAGTCCTTCGGAAAACGAGACTCGTTTAGAAAGGGTCGTTCTGCATATGAGTCTCGTGGAAAAACGAGACTCCTTTGGAAAGAGTCGTTTAACGAGACTCGTTTTGAAAGACTCGTTTAACGAGAATCGTTTTGAAAGACTCGTTTAACGAGACTCGTTTGGAAAGACTCGTTTAACGAAACTCGTTTGGAAAGACTCGTTTAACGAGAATCGTCCGGATAGACTCGTTTAACGAGACTCGTCCGGAAAGAATCGTTTAACAGAAACTACTAGTTCGGAAAGCGAGACTCGTTAGGAAAATGACTCGTTCGTGAAACCAGA